CTCTAGTGTTCAATCGTCTTCTACCTACAAGTCACGAATGGCTGACACGCCAGTCTAACTCTTTTGATTTAAGAAGATTGAATAGGGGCAGTTGTTGACCCCAAAATTTTCCCTCTCTTTTCTCAAGATATTTCTCACAAGATCTTCAAAATCTCAAGCTTGCACAAGTTTTGACTAGATCAAGCCATCTCCCCAACACTGATGCCTCAAATTAGGGTTTTGATTTTCACAAGGACAATTGAACTTTTAATGCCTCAAATGAGTTTCATGTATCATAATGGACCTCCAAGATTATTTATGTCAAGTTTCAAGTCTTGAAACACAAGTTTACTCAGTCAATTGCTCAGATGACTAAAAATCAGTTGTATTGGGTAAAAAGTCAAATATGGTCAACCTACAGTCAAACTTCAATATTTTTTACCAATATCAATATTTGGAAGTCATATGCATCAATTGATCAAGTTTGGATCATAATTCCTCAAGAAAAATGTCTAAACCATCAAAAGGGCAAAATGGTCAAAATTAGAGTTTTGACTAAGAATGACTGATTCTTGACTTTTACTTAATACATAACTTATTGGTTTGGAACATAATATCAAGGATTCAAGGACATAATTTTAACCTAATTTCATTCATCTCTCAAGATCAATGGATCGATAGTTGAAATTTGATCAACTGATGAAAAGTCAACTGCTGCACAAAAAGTCAAACTTTGACTTTTTGGTCAAGATTTAATTTCAAAGATCATATTTCATCAAGACATTAAAAAATATGAAGTTTGATCATCAATAAATCAAGAAAGTCAAAAGTCAATTTGAAAAGTCAAACTTTCCAAGACTTAGAAATTTTTCTAAGTGTTTTCATACATGATAATTTCATAACTTCATGGAAATCTTTCACCAAGATGCAAGATGATTTAAAGAAAACTTTCAACATGAAAGTTGTAGATATTGATGATATATATAACTTTTCTTTTTTGATCAAGTCCTAGAAGTGCTTGGATTTTGAGTTATAAGTTCCTAAAGTCATGACATTTTTCATAAAACACTTCGAAAAAATTTCATCAGGTTTTTGTCAGTTTTTATCTCAACTTCTTGGCCAATTTTCATCAAGTTCCAATTTGATTTGGCCAAAGTGGTCAATATGAACGTTGTATACAATGTTTTAAGCTTTCCGAAATGTCCAAGAGCATGAATTTATCATACTTGAGCTGGGAGATTCCAAGGCATGAAGTTGGATATTCATTCTAGAATTATAAATCATTTTTGGTGAAGAACACATAATCCAATCTACATGCTATGCTGCATAATATTGTGTTGTAGTCCTTCTTACTTGCCAATCTCACCATAATTTAATGCTTACACCTACTCTTGAGCTATTACCCAAGTGTTTGAGCCATTGTCCAAAAGATCTTTTCATTTATGGCATAAAGGCACCATTGTTATTCTTGAAAAGCAAGCATTTGGTACAAAAATGTTCTTGAGTACATACCTTGCTTACTTATGATTATACTCCACCATAAATCATGGAAATTAGCCCCTCTATATCAGCAACTTTGGTACTTCATCTTTGGACCACGGAAGACTTGGCATAACTTGATATTTGCATTCCAACCGAACCATAATTTGTTATCTTGCAAATTTGATTACTTCAATTTCCCAAACTTTTTCTCTATAAATAGAGAGGTCATTTGCAAGCTAAAGGCCAAATTCTTGTGTATTGAAAAATCCTCAAACCCCTCTTATACTCTAAAAACCAGAATTGTCCATAAAAAACCTCCATCTTTGAGCTTTGAAGTCCAAACCCTTTGAGTCTCCAAAACCTTGCAAGTTTTCCCTAAACAAACCATCCATATACTTCATATACATCATATAGAAGTTGTTCAAACACAAGAGAAACTTCTGTAACATCACTATCACCATTCTCCAAACTCAAAAATAGCCATTTGACTTCTCCAAGACAATACAACAACTCTAAACAAAACACAAATTTCATTTCAAGGTTAGTTTTCTTGACTTTGAACTCTTCATACAAGCATCATTAGTGGTTCATTTGTGAAGATAAAATGTAGATATCATTGCCCTGAATCTAACCATATGTTTACTTTTCATTTCCATTAACCATGTGTTGAGAACTAACTCATATATGCAGCAGAAAAATGCTGGAAGTAAAAAATAGTCGTATGAGTCGATGCATAACTCTATGAGTCGACACATATTAAGTATAAAATAGGTTATGAGTCGATACAAAACACGAATGAGTAGACACATAACATAAATGAGTCGATACAAAACTTTATGTGTCGACTCATATTGAGTTGGTTTTGACTTCCAGAAGCAAAGAAATGATATGTATCGATACATAAGTGCATGTGTCGATGCAAAACAGGTTATGAGTCGACGCGAACCTTTATGTATCGACTCATACTGAGTTTGTTTTAATTTCCAGAAGTAAGAAATGATATGTATTGATACATAAGTGCATGTGTCGATACAAAACAAATATGAGCCAATGCATAAGTGCATGTGTCAATGCATAAAAAAATTTTGTACCAATGCGTAAGTGCATGTGTCAATACATAAAAGTTTTCTTAAAACAATTTTCTTTTTTTTACATTATATATATATTTATTTATATTTTTATTGATATTCATTATTCAATATGGTTGTAATAGTAATTAGGTTTTAATTGCTTTTATTCCCCATTTGTAAATTTGTATCCTCCATCCCCAAAAATAGATGTAATAGCGTAGAATTTACATTTCTACAATTTACCGCTTTCAATATTATTGATAGTAATTAGGGTGTGTATGGCAAGACAAAAATCAAACAATAGAGAACCCTAATCTCAAGACAAAAATGCATGAAAAAAACACTTTGCACAATTGCACCTCTAGGTTTAACCTCACTTGTTGCCTTGAGAAAAACAGTCATGTCCCTCGAACGTGAGATACTTTAGCAATGACCATCGAATACAAAATCGTAGTCCCTCGATGAACCTTCAAATGTTGTCTTTGTTAAACGATCTTAGACCCTTACAAAAATTGATAAGGTATCCTACAATGTTGTTTTCTATGACTATACGACGACTCATATTCGTACCTTCACATCCAATGATAGGGCTTCTTACCAATCAATGGTAAGATAGCAATATCTAAAGGAGGAAGAAATGAACAAAGAATTTTTGAGTAGGTAAAATGTTCGTAGTCGCTTGCTCACAACCATTTTCAAAACATCTCTCAAAACACACCAACACTTTCAAATGAAATATTTTCAAAAGTCAACACTTTGTATGCATTCTTATAGAGATGAGAATCATTACAAAGTTCGCCTAAACAAAGGCACTTTTAAAAATACTTTCAAAAAAACATTGCAAACACATTTCAAACAAAGAATTTCAAAGTGAGCTAGAAACTAAGAGGTGGCACATTAGGGAATTCCCCACAATGTCAATAATAGTGATATCCTTCTGAAATCGGGAACACCAATAAATATCTGAATGAGAGAGTAACATCATCCTTTAAGACTACTTCAAAATTTTGTCATGTAATTCCATCTCCTCTATTTTGCTCTAGAATTTGTCGATATATATATTATAAAAAAAATTTGTTAGAAAAGCATTAAATGAATACCACTACTGTAACTTGGACAATACAAATAATATATGATTAATAGAAAAAATAATAAAATCTCTGTATGTCTCTCGCGAGCTATGTGTGCTGCATGCGATTCCAAAATATAAATCTCACTATTTAAATTTATCAAACCCATAAAATTATCCATAATGAAGATATTATTTGCAGACAATGTTGATAAGCCACGAGAGAGAAAAATGATAGCAGCGGTATATCAACAGAAGATCTTTTATCATCAGCATGCTTAAATAATAGGATGATGCGATAGTGTAATATAGTAAAATAATACTCCAGATAATCATCGATATACTGCACATGAAACTGACGAATTAGAAATCACGATTAAAAAATAGTCAAGTTGAAAATAATGTAACCAAAAATCCATAAATCAATTAAAAAATTATTCTAATTTGGATGAAAGAGTGGCTCAACAAAACCTAATAACTAATTATTAATTTTTGTTGTTTCAAAAAACAAAACAAAAAATTATTTTTATTTTATTTATAATAACATAAAATCATTTTTCAACAATATTTTTATAAGAAAAGTTTAGACACAAACGTATCTAAAATATAAGATTTGATCATTAAACTACATATTACTTTGAAAATTGAAATTGAGACTATCGCAAATTATCAAAGTGAAAATAATTAGATAATATTTTAATACATTATTGAGATTTATGTTGATAAAATAATAAAGATTGGCATAAATATATTTTTATAAAATAAAATTCTTTAAATTTTGAATTTAAACTAATAAAATAGTGTGTCAGTGAATGCCTTAAAATAATATTGCTTACAAATTTTCGAAGTCATTTGAAATATAAAATCCATATCCTTTTTAGATTCTATAAAAAAAATTATAATATAATTTTTTTAATCAAAATTACAAATCTTAATACAAACTTTTGATATCATTTTAATTTTTAAATCTCCAAAACTTTAAATTCAAAAATTATTAAAATCTTAACTTAATACACCCTCATAACTAATAACACGAGGATATACTCGCATAGTCCCCTTGCATTATCAATATAAAGTCCAAGCTGAGGGAGGAGCCTCTCGAGAATGGAATGAAGCGCATGTCATAAAACCCTAATAATGCTTGTAAAAAGAAACATAAAACCCTAATAATGCTTATTAAAAAAAAACATAAAACACCAACAATGCTTATAAAAAGAAACATAAAACCCCCCAACAAATATCTCATTGGAACTTTAGATGAAATGCTTCAAAGAAAATAAAACAGGACAATAATGAAAACAGTAATGTTTCTAGTACTATAGTCAATTTATCAAAATTGACACGCTTGAGAAAATTTAAGATGCAGAAAACTTGTATCATGCCATCTCCAGTAAACTTCTTTAAGCGCGTCCCTTAAGGCTAACCATGCGAGTAGATACATCGCCCAGGGATCCCCTCAGTCCTGAACCCCCTTGAGTAGCCCTCCCTGAACTCTGATAACCACCACCTGTTCCACGACCCGTTCGATCCCTTGAATAGCCTCCACTCCTAGCCGCTTGACCATATGCCAATGGCCTTCCACCGGCATTACCATATCCTCCACGTCCACTCCCTTGCCGTGGCTGAGAATGGGACAAGTCTTGCCATCTACCACCTAAAGACCCTGTCCCACTACCACCGCCAGCAGCAGCAGCATAGTCCTGGCCATCCCTCCGTCTCGGAGGTAGATCTAATCCACCACCTAATCTTGCCTCTGTGGCTCTCTCATTACTCTCTGCAAGGATAGATAATTTATCTGTCAACTGGAATGCCAATGCTTGCAGCCTAGAGTGCTCAACATTTTGGAAAACAATGCACCCAGTTGGCTGGTCCCAGCTTGCATGAAGCTCCTCATTGATCATCATCCTGCTCACAATGCTATGAGTGCGAGGGACAGAGAGGTCGAAAAATTCCGTGACTTGATCCACACTCAAAGACTCATAGGATGAAGAGAAGGTTAAGAGATATGTCCTAAGGGCCTCCTCCTTGATTTTGTCCTTGAGCATTTCCAATACAGTTTCTCGATTTTTCACAAATTTCCATACATCAAGAGAGGTAATAATGTCAAAAGCCTTATTGAAGTCTCCTTTAATAAGAACCCTCGTGGCAGCCATAATGTGATCTCTGACACTCTCAGGAGGACCGGTGAATGTTTGTTTATCACTGACCTCTAGCAAGCGGCGGAAATTCTTACTGATGACCCTATGCTTTGCATCATGAACATTAGCTGCCATATTGGGAACCTCCAGCAGCATAGCAGATATAAGATGCACTGCTTCCAGGAGCTCAAGATTTATGTGCATATGATACGGCATCTGTCTTCTTCTTTCCAACCTTTCCTGAAGAAATAACAGAGAGAGTAAAATGTGTTCTCACAATTCCAAAACAAATGAAAGAAAATGATCACAATTTTAAATATGCATCAGAAGAAGAGGAATACTATTAAGCACCTGTTCTGCAGTCTTTTCATGATAACGACTTTGTGACACACCTTGTGCAAGCAACTCTTTCACCCTTCCACCTGAATAAAGTTCAGATAGACAGCCATGTGCTTCAGAAATCAATCCAACCCGAAAAGCACATAGACCTAACTGTGACATAGCCCTGTTAAAAAGTATCTGTGTTGAAATGTCCATGTGCTGAACATTTTCTTGCAAATGACTCATAAGCAGCAGATCACGAGCTACTGAGAATTCATTAAGAAGAGCGTGGTGATATATATCACAAAGCATTGCCCGAGCTTTAGTGCGCTCATCGCCATGTTTGTATATATGTGAAACTAAAACATCCATTAGAGTCCTGTTATTCTCCGGGAAGGTGGGTTTCCGAGCCACAAGCTCAGGAGTGACAACAAATGCAGTAGGAATTCTTGTATCCTCAAACCCTTTTGACTCCTCGCTCGCCTCCCCTTCATTCTCTCCATCTTCGGTCAGATCAGCCAATTTTCTCATAGCATCATAAACCTCTTGTGGTTTGTAGTAAATGAGTTCAACCCTCCGCAAGGCTACCTTAGAAGATGCTTTGAAATCCCCACTACTTTCAAGATATTCCTGGACATTTTGAGCAAGAACCAAAAACAAGGGCTCATCCTTGAGTCTCGCAGCATACTCACCTGTATGAGGATCTATGCACTGCAAGCTCTTGAAAAACTCGGTATCTATTTTTTCTAAGAAAGCAACTAAGTTACCCCAAACCCTAATTGGTCCATCATAGTCAGCCCCTTTCTGAGTTTCATTTTCATCTGGCTCCACTGAATCGTCAACCTTTATGTTTGGAAACTGAACTAGAATATCAAGGATGAGCAGCATATTCTGAACACATTTTTTCCACACAGTTATTGGCATATGGCCACTGAGGCCTGGATTAACATCAAACTGAGCAGAAACCACACTGAAAAGAATCTCAAGCTTCTGTGCAGGTGTTTTAGCCACTTTTGTTAAGAAGTTAAGCTGCTCGACCTGTTCAAATCTCCCAGTTCCCTTCCTACCTCTAGCCGCCACAATCTCCTTAAACTTCTTGTTAACGATATCCCATGTAACCTCCCTTGGATCTTTCATGAGCTGTCTATCCAAAAGTCTATCTTTCTTGCTAAGCTTCTGGTCCCAACCTCCTTCACCGGCATCTTCCTTTCCATCTTCGTACTCAACTTCCGAATCCGATTTAAGTTCCCGCTTCCGAAGCTGTTCAGGCTCAATAATATCACCATCACTGTCATCTTCTTCCTCGCTCTCCTCATCCTCATCCTTTTCCTCCTCACTCCCCGGACTCTCCCTACACTTATTAATCAGCTCCTCATATTGCTTATTATTCTTCTTCAATTTTTGCTTCATCGAGTTCAAAGCTTTCGCATTACTACTACTCATCTTCTTCTTAGCATCCTTATTCGCCAAAGCCTGAGCCAAGAAATCCTCCAACATAACAAGAGCCTTAATATAAAGACTAGGAACCTTATCAGTCTCCGCCACACGCATGACTTTCTCAAGCTGTTTGTTAATCTTGTCAAAACTCTCTTGCAAACTCACCCAATCGTTAATCTTCATTGCATTCTTCATCTGATCAACAGTCGAAGCCATTTCTTCGAATCTTTTATCTTTCGCCGATCTAACAACACGCTTTTGGCCATCAGAGTCATCGCTGTCGCTAGCATTACCTTGAAGGTAGTAATTGGTTTTAGTAGGATCAGGACCAGATTCACCTGCTGTTTCTTCAACCTCCTCATCGTAATCACTATCTTCATCTTCAGAATCACTACCAGCCTATGAATCATAAACAACAACAATAACAATAATATTATTAATAATTTATTTAATCGAACTTTGGAATTAATCGAGAATTGCAAAAGGTTGAATACCTGGGTCCAGAATCTCGATGCCATTTTCGTCAATAATTTCAAGTGGTGTTAAAGGTCTTCAATGAAAATAACAAAATCAAATCACGGTTCAATTAATATCATTCATAACAATAACATGAAATGACGAGATTTAGGAATTTTGGCGTACCGTTTAGAAGCTAGGGTTTCGTCGCGAGAAGTTTCTCATCGGGAAAGTTTGTAATAGCGCCGGAGGAAGAACGAGATCATCTGTGTGGCGAAGTTTAAAAGAAAACTTGGGCCGTTTCAATTCTCAGTTAACTTAATGGGCCAAACCTAAACATCGTTTATTTACTTATTACTTTTAATTTCATTTATTAGAGTTGACTATAACAAAAAATTAAATTATACTACAATTAAATAATTTTTATAAATAAGATTAGAATGAGTTCTTTTTCTGTAGTGTTTGATATTGTTTCTGTTGTAGTGAAGCTATTCCTGTTATAATAAGATTTAATTAATTTTTTAATTAAAATTGTAAATAATATTATAAATATAATAGTTTAAATAAAATTCACAATTCAAAAAAATTACAAGAAAACTAAGTTTACCTTTTATATATAGATGAGATTATTAGTAGTTGAGCTAAAAAAATACTATTAAGAATTGAAAATTGAATTAATGTTTTTATAAAATTAAATTATAATTTACTTGAATTGGATAAATTATTATTTTTATGTTTAAATTTTAAGGTTTTGTTTGAATTGATGGAATCGAATGGAGCGGAGTGGAATGAGATGAAATAGAATTATATTCTATTGTTTTGATAATTTAAAAATGGATGGAGCGGAAGAAAATGGAGTAGTATGAATTTCATTTCATTTCATCACGTACCCCATATATGTTATCCTCTGGTTTGGGCTGAATGAACAACTTGTATTGTTTTTGTCCTAAATTTTCCAAACAATGGAATGATATCTTCGTTTCGTTCTGCTCCATTTCACTATGCTCGTTCATTTTATGATATCCAGACATAACCTAAATGTTTATATTTATATAATATAAGAAATAATTATATTAAACTATATATGTAGAAATGGATGAATACTTGTGTTTCAAAATTCATCATGTCGGTGAGTTTATAGACAATGAACAAATTGTGCATGATGGTGGAAATGCGAAGAATTAAAAATTGATGTGGATAGGTGGAGTTACTTTAACTTGGTAGGTATATTGAAAAAAGTAGGTTATCCTGGGGATTAGACATTTATTATAATAACCCCACGTTTTGGATGAATATGCTAAATGATGAGAAATGAGCATTAGACATTGCTGACCTTTGTAGGGTCCATTTGAGTGTTGATGTTTATATACAACATCACATGTCTCAACCTGAGTATGTTGAGAGTCTTTTTCCTGAGGAAATAGTTATTCCTGAGTATGTTGAGAGTCATATTCATGATAAAAATTATATAATTGCAAAGTTTATTGAAGAGATAACTAGGGAGAATGAGGATGGTGTTGAGGTGTAGGGTGTAACACCTCAATTCTACCTGACGATTATTATAAAAATTAGAGTTATAAAATTCCATCATACAAATCAGGATGCTACAATTTCAACTTATTACAACGATATTTAATCGCATGTAAAACAAATACATAACACATAAACATGGATGAGCAACATAATTTAGTCCTTTAAAACCAACAACTTTCATAACTGCACAGCGGATTCATAATATTCAACTTTAAAGGACATAACATATTTGTCCAACTAAACAACTTCAAATAATAAGTATTTAACGAACAACAACTTAAAGTTCAATCAACTGAATTAATAACAATAAAACAGCAAGCGTTCATCCTCTCGAGTGTTAAGTATAAGAGCAATGACACCGACTCGAACTACTGAAGGTAAATCGCCTTCACTCAGGATTACATGCATGTTACTAACATCGGAGTAACATTCAAACAGAAGGGGTGAGGTATCGAACAATATAGTCAGATGTATGATAATATTACATTAGAATTAGTCTATGTCAAATCACCATTTCACAACTTTAAACAACGTCAATCACAACGAAAACATCAATGAAACATAAGAAATAATTTACCAACACAACAACTCAATATGCAACATGAAATGCAACTTATTACTATGCACATGCATGTGGTAACAACGGAGCAGAACTCCCAATTTAGAAATGGAGCACAACTCCCAACTTAAAAACGGAGCACAACTCCCAACTTAAAAACGGAGCAAAACTCCCAACTTAAAAACGGAGCAGAACTCCCAACTTAAAAATTTCCAATTAATAGAGGCATCAACAAGGCATAAGTCTTCAACTTCAACTTTTTGCCAATTCAGGCCAACTTGTTATGTTATGCATGCGACAACAACAACTACAATATCAACCATTCAACAACAACACAACAACAACAATTCAACCACAACTTAACAACAATTCAACAATAACTTAATAATAATTCAACATTTTCTATAGGCCTACAACTTAATAATTCAACTTAATTCAACATTTTCCATAAGCGTACAACTTAATAATTCAACTTAATTCAATATTGGTCATAAGCCTACAATTTAATAATTGTCAATTATAGATGCAATACAACATAACTCATCTTCTGCAACTTCAATAATTAGTAACAACAACACAACGACTTACACATGTCAATAATGTTATTAACACGTTCCTACTAAAGTACTTCCACTAAATTATTCTGCTACTAAGCCTCATTACTAGTTTTCGGCTAAATTAATAAAACTATTATTTACCTGCTACTTAAATTATCTCTACTGCTACTATATTTTATTTACTAATATTTTTGTTATTTACTACAAACTTTGCAACTAAAACTATACCAGTTATTAATTATGCAATTTAATAATTATCCTTGCTAAATATCTATTGCTATTACTTTCATAATTCACTACTACCAACGATTTTCATTACACTGTCTACTAATTACTAATTTTCTGTTAATATTTATTAACTCTACTACTCATTAGTATTACCTGCTATACTTATGCTAATTCGTCAATTTATCACTTCTGTTGTTAATAAATAACCTCTAATGTTATTCATCATTTTCTGACCCTGCTACACCTTTTTGTGTAACAAACTACTAAGTAACAGAAATGCAATACAGTTCTAGAAACAATTAAAAGAAATACTGGTTACGGGATTCTTTTCCCTCGGCTTGCAAACCGTGCCCCTCGGCACAGAACATGGTGTCGGTCGGCACCCTTCATCAACACACATGTGTCGCTCGACACATGTCCATAATTTCAGTTGCAGTCGTGCAACTACGTCCAAACTTTCCTGCAATCAGTAACTCCTTTCCTTCCCATGATCTCAGACCAACACAACAACTTTACCCACATCAATATATGCAAATTTACAACATTCGATTCATCAATTGAATCACTACAACGTTAGCATAATTATCACAGATGCCAAACAACAATTTATCCATACAACAATCATACACAACAACAATTTCGCACAACCCAATTCCTATGTAACATGTATCATATACCCAATTATAGAGTTATAACCCCACCCTTACCTTGTATTGAAGGTCGCTCTATGATTTTCCGATCGAACCTCGCTTTTCCTCTTTTCCTTCTTCTCTGCAACTTCCACGTTCTCTTTCTCTCTTCCAACCCTTATTCCTCTTCTTCTTTACAAAAACATATTTTCTATTATTATAACTAAACTCAATAATAATAGAATTATTTATATTGGGATTAATACTCGCACCCCCTTAGTACTACATACCACCATATAAAATAGGCCCATGCGAATATTCCATTAATTCCATATTACTATTATTATTAATCAACTAATTAATTAATTAATAATAATCTAGCAACTTATATCAACAATTCTCAACATCTCAAAACTTCAACAAATAATCCAAAAATAATTTAATTAAATAATTAATTAAATTATCAGGCATTACAACTCTCCCCCATTTAGAATATTTTCATCTTCGAAAATCTACTCGATACTACCACTCTTAATGCAAATTTCGTATCACACTTTCTGATCCCCAAGTCGCGTCTGGCAACACTTCGACCACCACTTTCTCGATATAACAATAACTCAATACGATTTAAATCAAATATACACATGTTAATCATTCAACACCTCCACGACATAATCGTTAACAACTTATCAACCACTTTAATAATATCTTGACATATCAATATTTTAAAGTAGTAACACACTTATACTTGGATATACAACATCACATTATCATCTTAACAACATCTTCAACACCAAAACACATATATATATTAAGATGATAATGTGATGTTATATATATATATATATATATATATATATATATATATATATATATATATATATATATATATATATATATATATATATATATATATATATATATATATATATATATATATATATATATATATATATATATATATATATATATATATATATATATATATATATATATATATATATATATATATATATATATATATATATATATATATATATATATATATATATGTCAATTACCAATAACTCTATTCATATCGTTGTATCACCCTTATAGTGACATCAACATAGCCAACATAATCAACTTCGTCATATTATGGAGTATTATTCATCCTTTACGGTAACCAACAACAACATCACGACAACGGGAACAAAATCATTATAACATCAACTTAACAGTATAACTCAACAATTATACACATAACTCACCATCAACCAACAACCACATTAATATCCTTATAAAATCAGCAAATGGTTACGAGAAACACAGTACCCTGGCACATCATCCCTATATCAACAATCTACCAAATCAAACATGTAGATCAAGACATATCATTCCCGTAGGCTTCTGATATTTAGTCTTTCACTTCTAATGAGTCATACACGTAAAGCAACTGCGCCACATCACGCTTCAGCTGTGTAACTCTGATCATCCATCTTAAGTCACCGTCCTTATTAAAATTTCCGGCAAATATATGGTTTACAAGTTTCAATCTAGTTTCGGACTTTCTTTAA